CACACACACACACACACACACACACACACACACACCTTAGTAAGTCATTTTGCAATGAAATGTTGCAATTTTCTTTTCAGGTTGATATCACTGGCTGAATCAACAGGTACATGAGATTACGGGGTACATTTTCCAAAATGCTTTCAGAAAGTAGAAAGTGAAGTTGGCTTTTTACAGCTGAAAAAAAATTAACTTTTTTAAAACATTATATAACTTTGAGAAAATCCTGCCTAAATTTGGAAGGAATCTATTTCAGTGAAAATCTTTTGACCTTCTGATTATAGGAACTAAAAGTATAATAGTAATTATATTTTCTTACACAGAACCCACTTCAATTGTCCATATCTGCCAGTAATAATGTTTATTTTCATCATTAAGTATCTCTATTTTCTAGATGAATTGCTCGGTGAAACAATACTGTAAAATAGATATTGAATAACAATGATACAAAACAGAAATTAGATGTACGGGCCTAACAGTCACCATAGATTCAATCAAGCTCACCAAATTGCAAACACTCATAGATATCAGTTAACTGAATATGAATAAAACATGTTTTTTTCCATCAAGATCCATAAATGATTGTCTGAGAAACCAGTGAAAACAAATTTAAAAATTGCCTCATCTCACGATGTTAAAGAACGTGGAAAAAATCCTGGGTCCGCCCCCGATCAGAATCCAAATCAACATTATGTGGGTTCTTCCCTGACTGATACCACATCCTCTCGCTAAGTTTTCAGAATAAGACGAAGATAAGATGAAAACAAAGGCCGTAATTACTCTGTCACGATTGTTTGCTTCTGCCAACCATTCAAGTTGTCTCTGTCCAAACTGTACCGTCTGTTCCTGAGTGTTGCTGTTAAATAGGACAGTGTTTTTGCAGCCACAGTGAAGTTGACCGTTGACATTTTGGATATACAGTAAAATGATCAACTCCATCATTTTATCTTATAAGACAGTATTGCTGGATGAATTATTGGGTTATGGCTAAAAACTAATTTTGTAAGGTCACAGTGATGTTTGACCTTCAACCACTAAAGTCCAGGTGAACATTTGGGCCAAATTTAAAGATATAGGACAAGACAGACAAACCGGAAATAAATAAAACCTCAGACCACAACTGTCGCCAGTGTGGAGAAATAAAAAGCAGCACATCAAAACATTATCAAAGCTGGAAACAGACAATGTTTTGAGAATATGCTTTAAACTGTGAATTCATTTTCAGTTGAATTCTAGTTATCTACCTTAAATAATAAACATTCCATACAATAGAAACCAAATAGGCCTGTAGATAGCAGGTCTTGCTAGATGAGGTGTTAAAGGTTTATGTGTAGTATAAAAAAAGATGTGGGGAATCAAGCATGTGACCGAAAAAAAAAAAGAAAAATGCTCTGAGAGAAAGATTCAGAGCTGGACAGCAGTCAGTGGTTAAGTTTAATAATTGATCCTCCTTAATTATCCATGAAAGCAGAAAACCACAGGGCATTCGCTGTAATGTCTTAAAGAGCTGACAGAGTAAACACATACTCACCGCCACCGGCACACATAACACACGCCACAGAGTTTAAAAGTAGTTTAGCCGCAAATTCTCCAGAGTCGGCTTAGCGTCATATTTCCTCTTTAAAAGTCAAGTAACTGTTGTTGCTCCTCCTACTTTAATAAACTCTGTTCTGAGATGGGCAAGATGCACAGCAAACTCAGGCAAGTGCAAACAACCACGCACTATTCTTCCTCTTCCTCTCTCTCTCACACACGCACGCACACACAAGCAATACAAAGCTGCATTCTAAAAATTAAAGCTTCTCAAATGGATTTGAGGCAGAACCATGAGAGCAGAGGCTGAGTTCGGGGGTGCTTTTGCAGATATGATTAGCTGAATGCATTTGCCCAAGTCTGCAAAACTGAGGGTGGAACTCCCTGGGTTTAAAAGGGGTTGAGTTTTTGAGAAGGACTATAACAGTAATATATTACCAGAAATCATTCACAATTTATGTTTTAGACACAATTGGTTAGTCACAGAATAAATCCTGGATAAACAAGGATTAATAACCTCAACTCTGAAGACAATCTCAAAACAAAGCCTCTGGCTGCAGACCTGATGTGAAGGTGTTGTTTTTAGATTGTCCGTCCACCTGTCTGTCCATGCAAATGTCCACTTGGTCTCAAGGATGTAAGGTCAAAGTTGCTGTAATTTCAGAAGAAACTTCCCCGGAATTCTTTGAGAAAACCTTCTCTTGGACTCAAGTGTGAACTAATTAGATCACATTTTAGTGCAGACATGCACGTAAACTGCAACTTGACTGGTTGGTGGCGGAATGATGATCTTACAAGAACAGGAAGTAGACATGTTGATTAGAAGGGCAGTTGTGTGTTCAGAATATACAGCAGACGCACCTGAAGGTCTGGATCCTCCTCGTGCTGGAGGTGGGCTTCCTCTGCTGCCTCCACCAGTCTCTACAGGAGGAGAGAAGAAGAGAGGAAGCACAGCCTTAGCACAAAAATGAATTGATTAGAGGGTCAAGAAAATAACAAGCGCAGCAGAGACATCTATACAGAATGTAGTTTTACAGCTGGCTTTACCCCAAAGCATTGGAGCCCTGAGGACACAGATAGCAGACAGACTGACAGCAGACAGACTTTGGGCCATCTTGTGAAAAGAGGCTATTTTCCTAAATGGTTCAGCAGTAAAGGTAATGAGTGCCTCGGGTTCTTTGGACACCACTACAGCAATCTCCGTCATCACTTCATGCAGTTTTACACATGCACTCAACAACACGCATGTGCACACACACAGTTACTCTATCAGCACCCTCTTACTGCCACCGTCTGCTGCGTGTGCCTGTAGGCTAGTGCGGGTATCTGAGTGTTCAAGTCAACGTTATGCTCTCTACCTCTCTCTCTACCTCTGCCTCTTTCATTCACTCTCTAGCTCCCTCTCTCTCTCTTTCTCTCTCTCTCTCTCTCATGGGAACAATCACAAGAGTTACAACATAATTTGAATCTGAATCCAATATTAACACTTTATAAAGTTTATGGATGTTAGCTTATAATGTCAGCTTATAAGCGTATGTCATACTCATAGACTGTACATAAAGATAGACGTGGTGAGGTATGACATAAATAAATCATCAGTGATTGAAGACTGGTGTTACTGTTGTGTCAAAAATGTTTTATTACATTATTAATTCTTCAAATTATTCTTCAGCTAACAGACAAGCAGGAATCCCTCATTACTGGGACAGAGCAGACAGATGTTTGGCACTTTTACTTGATGAGTCACTTTCTGTTGATTCATGTTTGTTGCTTTTCTTATTGATTATTCATTCAAGGACTAGTGTGTGTGTGTGTGTGTGTGTGTGTGTGTGTGTGTGTGTGTGTGTGTGAGACCAAGAGTCGTGTTGCCTTCAAGGGAGATTTGTTTTCACTGCTTGACAGATTCCCACACAGAAACACAGACATAAAGTACACAAGACTTGGTCACATACCATATACACATACACATTCATGCTATTTGTCTGCCAACACTTACTCATATACACATACCTAGACCTTTATAAATTGCATCATTGAGGCAGTGTATTCACACATACACAAACATGTGTATGTTCTTTTTGTTGTTATTTTCCTGTTCATTACAGTTATTGTTATAACCATTGTTTTTGTAGTTTTTATTGTTATGATGATATTAATATAGTCTGTTTATTAGTTTGTTTGTTGTACAGAGTTATGGTCATGTCTGCCAACTTCACTGACTCGAACACAAAACTTGTTTTCAATTACTATTATGTCTCGCAAAACTCAAGTGACTGAGTGGGAACTGTGTGGCGCTGTGTCGTGCTCTGCCCACATGAATACATAACATTCAGCATAGAAGAAATCAATACCCATCGGTGTTCCACAATTACAAACATAAAACTGGCAGTGTCTCAGACGTTATTATAGGAGGACACTGTAGGTGACAACTTTCCCATCAGCCTTAAATACACCTCCTTTTAATATTTGGCAGCAAAGTTATGGTCAATTTACGGCAATTATGACCTAACTTTCATTTTCATTTAAAGGTCCAGTGTGTAAGATTTAGGTGAAAGGGATTTTTGGCATTAATTTAATATAAAATAATCCTAGCAATGTTTTCACTAGTGTGTTTCGTCTAAATTGTATGAATTGTTGTTTTATTTACCCTAGAATGGGCCCCTATATTTTAAAACTTTATATTTACATGGAGGGGGGGGGGGGGGGGTCCTCTCTGTGGAGGCCACCATGTTTTTTACTGTCATCCAAACTGGACAAACTAAATCCTTTTGAGTTTTTATGACAACTGAAGACTACCAGAGGTTCTCTTTCAAGGAGAGGGTGGGGTGAGGGGTATTCAGCTGCAACATGCAACTTCACCACTAGATGTCACTAAATTCTACACACTAAACCTTTAAGACTTTTTAAGGAGCCGTGGGAACCCTGAACAAGAGTCGCAAAAGCACTTGAGTCCTCAAAACAAACCTCAGACTCAGAGGTTGCTCAGAGGTTGCTCAGAGGTTGCTCACCATATGGTAAAGAATCCTGAAGATGGAGGGAGATAACGGCTGCAGTTGAAATTTAACATCTGCAAATATGTGGCACTTCTTTCTACTTCCAGCTGTGATGTATATTGTCTGTTCTCATAGCAAGTCATCTCTGTCATCCACAGCTGGTCCCGGTGTCTATGAGTTTTGGTAACGCACTTCCACTTCACATTTCCATTCAAATGGCTTTACTCGTGAAACTACTGCAATCAACCACCTTATTTCAGCAGAGCTCAGTCTGTGTGTGT